ATATTGTCCACTCTGTGTTATTGTGTCTCTGGATCGGAGCACACTGTGTGTGCACTGCGAAGATTTGTGTGACACTGACACAAAACCACCCAGCAAGCAATAGCCGTCATTTCACCTTCTAGGTTAACTATAGACCCCATATAGTCTGGCTATGAGTAACCCACTTCTAGCCAAAATAACCTTGAATTTGGTTACATGTCATTTTTGCCAAAATAACTTGCAAGATGTATGATATTCCATCATGTAAGCAAAGTCAGCAGTGATTACAAGGTGTTTGGTTTCATTTCTTTGACATGTTCTATGTGTAGCCTGTGTGTCTATTCTTGGTATATCTTTAGACGTCTATTAAATTTTCACTAACAGCCCAAATTTTGCCTTGTTTTAGCCTAGACGTCAGGGCTGTGTTTGGACTGACAGCTATTAGACATCTTTTAATCGCAAAATTGCTTGCTGGGCAAAAACACAGGATGTGGCAGGAGTCGAAACAAAGTCAAGAGCGAGACTTATAATAAGTATACTTATAATAAGTCTCGCTCTTGACTTGGTCTCGACTCAGACTTCTAATTAGCTGGTCTCGATTACAACACTGGTAATTCATATGATACCATCTAAATGATCTTTTTATCAAAATCAAATAAATTTCAATAATTAAAGTAGTTTTAATGGGACTGAAAAAGTCAAATAAAACATTTTCACCAAAGTCAAATTTGATAATTCAATTCTACATTCAAAGACATGCCTAATAGTCACCAAAGGCCTGTTTGTCTAGAGCATACCCATTGCTATTTTAATCTGTCCTTTGACTTCTTCAACACCTACAGCTGAAAAGCTTGAGTCATGTTTCTAATTTTAACCCAGCCTCTGACCTCCCTTGTGTCATGCAGAACCCAATAAAGACTCAGAACGTGTCCAGACTGCCAAGCCAGCGGGACCCTTCTTCTGAAGGAGTCAAATGCAAAGACTTACAGTCATCCTGTCATCTTGAAACTTGAGTAAGGACTAATGTACAATCATTAATGCAACATAAACCCTGACAAGTGATCTGAGGCCTTATAAGATTCAAGCTGACAAAACCAGACAAATGCCACCAGGGTTAAGAGGTACCACTAAACTCAAACTGAACTTCCTCTGTTAAATCAGGACTTGATCCTGAGTTTGTAAATAGTTAATCAGCGTGCGCAGTGAAGCATTACGTTCGCAAGACAATAAGATCCCCTGCTGGTGAAAGTTAGTGCAGTATATTTCTGGGCTACTAATGAAGAGATAATTATGATGAATATGATGAATTAAAACATATTTACATAGCAATAGGAAACACACTGCCTGGAAAACTTGAGAGGAATGCAGAAAAGGGGAAAAATGTAAAACAAAACAAAAAATACACAAATATCGGTTAGTGAAAGTGAATTAATCGAGGTTTCACAACATGAAAATATAGGCTTATTAAACTAAACAAAAACTTTTATTAATTTACTAAATTATTTTGAATTACTATTATTAGATGTTAAACCAGGTTGCAACACACACACACGCACACCAGGGATGGAAATTAGCACCCGCCACCAGCCAAATGCGGGTGATTTTGTGTTGTGGCGGGTAAACTCGCTTCACCTACCGGCCACCGTGGCGGGTAAATAAAAATAGCATACTGTTTCACCCGGACGGCGGACACTTTTAGAGGAGGCACACCTTCAAACAAAATGTGGCGTTACATCGCAGGCGTAGAGGTCTGCAGAGAAAACATCATGGTGCGTTCACACCAGACGAGAATAGAGCGTCTGGCGCGAGTGATTTCATTGTTAAGGGCCGTTACATAGTCAACGCGAGCAACGCGAGCAAGCAACGCGAGCGACGCGAGCTACGCACTCCTTTTCATAGTACACAAGCGTCACCGGCGATGCGTGAAATGCAATACACCGATAGCGCAGCAGGGGGTAGTAGAGTCTAGAGTCGGGTCACGTAATATTCAGATCAAAATGGCAACTGAAGAGGAGTGCATATTGCTGATTTTACATCGGCGGCAACAAAGGATGTATACGAACAAGCTCGCATAACTTTTCCTCTTCGCCCGCCATTGTATTCAGATCTTCTTCTTCTGTAAACATAATAATATACCTTTTTATGTACATTACTTGCAATGTCGCCCCCACCGACAACGCATAGTATTTCGTGCATCGGCGCGTCGCGTATCAAAAACTAGGATGACACATTTGGCTACGCATCGACGCATAATGGCGGCCGAAGCGTAGCGATGTGTAGCCTTGCGCACGCGTATGCGTACCGATGCGTTGACTATATAAGGGCCCTAAGTCAATGCAAAGACGCGTTACGCGCGTAAAAAATTCCTGCGGCGCGAATGAGGTGTAGAGCGCGCCGTGGTAGATGCGAATACGCCTCATTCGCGCGGCAAGTTCGAGCGTCTGACGCGTTCCGCGCGCATGATTTTATTGAGTGCTTTTGTGCATTCACGCGTTTGACGCGAATCCGCGTCTGCCGCCCGAGTTGAAAAATCTGAACTTTAGCGTCAATTCGCGCCGCGTTAACCAATCAGGAGCCTAGCTGCTGTCACGTGGTGAAGTATCTGGATGCTTCAATAAATTATTTTGTACTAAAGGCCTGATGTGGTTCTAATGCACAACAAAGCAAATATTTTATCACATAAAACTTGATTTCAATATATGAGACATATTCATTTTGTATTGAATGCTATTTATTCCATTTCATATCTAGATTATATTAAATATTATTCTAATGTAAAGGCAACCAACATACTATAGCTCATAAATCCGTGTCTGGAGAGTGTTGTGTGAGAGAAAAAAAAATCACAGGACAGGTTAATTACTTTTGGAGGCTGGCTCAATTTATCATCAAAACAAAAATAAATGACAGATTAGGTGGATGAGGCCGAGGGTGAGAGAAAGAGAAAATGTCAGTATTTCATTGAGACTTGAGATTAAATGAACTGCTTAAGTATTCTTGTAGTATTAATTTTCACATGCAGTTACACATTGTCGGTTAAAAACAAGAAAGTGGCTGGTAAAAACATTGAGTGGCTGGTAGATTTTGAAATCCACCAGCCACAGTGGCCGGTGGACAAAAAAGTGAATTTCCATCCCTGACGCACACACGTTGAGTTTCCACCAGCATAATGATTTTTATTCTGTAAAAACTGTATATTGAAACCCTAAACCTATCCATCACAGAAAACTTTCTGCATTTTTACATTTTCAAAAAAACATAACTTAGTATGATTTACAAGCTGTTTTTCTCATAGGGACCAAAAAAAGTCCCTACAAAGACAAGGATTTCAGATATTGCCAGAATGAACAGGATGAAGTTGTTAAATATTTCTTATTTTGTTTTAATACCACATTTAGTACTGCCCTTCGGAAGCAACAGAAGATATATTGAAAGACAAATTGAACAATTTACCTTGATCTTCAAATTTAAAAAGATTTCACCCCCAAAAATGCCATGCCATTATCATTGGATCCCATAATTGTACCATCGTACATTTTCCACCTATCTGTGCCCTTAAAGCCGGTGACATGGCCATACTGTTCAGCAGTGTGATGTATGTTGCCCTCAACAATGGCGGACAGCTAATCTCTACCAGACCCAATCACCTCTAAATGCAACATTTCTATGCAGGTTTAATCTTGGAAATGCACTATGGTGCTTCCTCATACTGTCATAAACTTTTATCGAGTTGTGCTATAACTGAAAAGCGACAGATTGCACTGGCTTGGAGTACACATTTACATGCATATGAGCTGCTGTGTCCGACTCGGGATGTTGGCCAACCATTGCGTTAACAAGACACTGAAGATCATATAACTGTGTAGTCCTCAGGAGACCATATGACACGTTTAATCATTTCAAATTAGATTGCATTTGACATGTGAGTAAACGTGGACCAGAACAGCAAGCCTGAGAGCAAATCAGTCACTGAATATAGAGGACATGATGGTGCACTTTTCAAAGCTGTTAAGTCCCCAATCAAATCCCACATCAATTGGCTAAAGTAAAGGGAAAAGAAGGCTGAAATCACTTAGTCATACCTTCCTATCCATTCTCAACGTGCACAAAATAAATTTCCCACACTTCACTAAACACATCGTTAATCTATGCCAGGCATCAACATTTTCCCTACACTAAAATACAGAAGCGCATCCAGTTACAGACAAAGATTTCCTGAAAGATTGCCAGAAATTCATCTTTAAAAATCAAGCATCATTATTATTCATAATGATGCAAGAAAAAAAATATGCAAATGTAAACACAGCTGATTTTGTGTACTGAATATGGTTATTTAGCTCATTAGCAAAGATTGCCTGCATTGAAACTGTGAACTGAGGTACAATGTGCACATGTGTACATCTTTCACCGGCACTAAACCTGCAGCTGAGAGACCCTACAGCCCCACCACAAGGGTTTCACAGAACCCCAGCCCATTGCAAATGAAGCATTTCCTCAGTCAATGCTTGCTAACTTAATATTCCAGTTCTGTAAATGCAAGGCAAGCTCAAGTGAAAGGTTGAGTCCACTTGTCAAAGCCACCAGATGATGTTGTTGTTAACATCCCGATTTCATTCACGAGCTACATTGGTTTTAATTACGATTATGCAAGAAGACGACTGTGGCTCGCATCACTGTTCCGTTGAGAATAAAGTAGATATGATTGCTTGAGGCATAGTTCCTTTTTTTTCATTTTACTGTCTGCTTTGCCACACACATACAGAATTTTAATGAGGATCTTTCCCAGCGTCTCCAAGGCATGAGTTTTGCCTCTCTTACACGCATCTCTTTTGTATTTCCAAACTTCGTTCGAACCACGCTCTCGCTCAAACATTCCAATCTCACAACGTGTTATATACACTTTCTCCGAGAACGAGAACCAAACGAGAACCAAGAACGTCAGCTCGCATAGCCCTTCCTCCCCTACGGAGGATTTTATTGATCTTTAAATCTGTTGAATTAGATGGCAGCTTGAACCTTACCTATGTCTGAAGGAGCGTTTGCATGCAGCAGCCGGTTTCAGCCCGACCAGTCATGCCCTCCTATTTGGGCAGCTTGAGTGCTTGCTGGCGGCTGCACAGGTGGAGGTTCACAGAGAGCTCTTTCCCATTCACCCAGGTCATTGCAGCTGGCCCCGGTGTCTTCTCGAGCAGACAGGGGGATGGGCGGCAGCTCGGACCTCTCACATCTCTGGCGGATCCCTGCCGTGCACGTGAGCTCTTAGTGACTGCTGGATGGAACTTTCCCCGGTATTCTCCACCTCGCAGGGGTTGCATGCATTTCCTTTCCTTTTGTGAGATCCGGCGAGTGTGACTGAGATGCAGGGAGGTATAGAGCATAAACACAGGAGAGGAGAGAGAAAGGGAGGCAGAGAGAGAGGGAGAGAGGGAGGGTGCAGGAGAGATATGCTTCGTTTATTGGCATAAATCAGGAAGGGAGAGAAGAGGAGGGTCTGTGGAGAGACTACAGAACATGTCAGTCTAGTCCACATTAGAACGTGTGTGTGCACATCCCAAGAGATGCTCTCTGGACATATGTGATTATGGGTAATGTTGCTTTGTTAACACTGCATGCTGGGTTTCCCTGTCTGTCCTTGTGCCGTGACACTGCTTGTACTAATAAAACGCATAAACGTGCCAAGACTGGGCGATCAATCACGTACACGGGCACGCACACCGGGAATGCACTGAGGCAAAGAGGCTGTATGTGTCTCCCGGGAGAACATTTACATTAAATACTTCCGCAGGGAATATGGTATTGATGTGATCTATCCTGCGGGCTGCTCTTTGAAAACCTTCTGGGAGACCACAGAAGGAACACTAGAACGGCAAAGTAGCATCTTTAAATACTTAAGCCAGTGCAGGATGGTGGAGTAAAGATACTTTCTGAGTGAGGCGATCTGGTGTTTCCTATTTGGCTGGGACCTTGAAGCCAACTTGAAAAGGCATTTGCAAGCCATTTCACTTCCGAAATGTGACATTTTTATGAGTCAAACAGGTACTGAATGAGGCGGCGACTGATTTTTATACACCAGGATTTGATTGGATTGTTAACAGCAGTCAGTTATGGAGGTTTACATCTCTCCAGAAACACTTCCAGCAACAACTTTCGAGGAAGCTTTTTGACTGGGACATTGAAGCCGAAGGTCAGGTTCAGCCTCTGTGGCATTTCAGTGTATCTCAGTGTTGACTTATGTTTTTCCAAATCACTTGTTATAAGCTTTGTAAACATTTGCAACCCAAATTTTTTACAAAATGGTATTAAGTTGCTTCTTGCATGTTTTGTGCCAGTTTCAAAGTGAAATGTTCAGAGAATGGTGCTAAAAGTTTCATTTTCTCCTAAACAGAAGAGCATGACTATGGCAAAAAAAGGAAAAAGTATGTTGATTAATGCACTTATTGTGGTAGTACGGAAATAAAACGTCACCAAATCTTACTATAATACTATAAATCAGTGGTGGCTCGTCAGAGGCTCATCATGTACAGTGTGTGTGTACATGAAATTGCCATGTCATGTGTGTAATTTCACCATTTTAAACTACAAAATATTGTTTATTAATACAATGTAAGTTATTACTTTATATTTCTTTCGAATAGCATGCACCAATGAATGACAATAAGACCATACATTTGTTTTTACGAAAATAAAAATGTTCAGTTTTGATTTCATGTTTCAAACAGTAAGAACCACTGCAGGGGAGCGACACTCAAGGCAGAAATGATTGTGTATGCAGAAGAAATGAAAAAGCATGAGACAGAGAGCATGTGGCAGGATACAAAGAAGCTCGCCCAACTTTCCTTTCCCTTGTCAACCAGCCCCTCCAGTTGGGCCAGTGTAATAATTACAGAGCAGTTTTGATTTACACAGGCTAATGGTGTTGACATGCCTGTGTGTTTAAAACTGACTAAACAATGGGAATTGAAGGTTCTGCATCAGTTGTTTTAATTTTGCTTTTCAGACTTGACTAAGGATGGTTGTTAACTTTTAAACGTGACTTGATGTGAAAAATAATCTTCTTTCCGAGGACAGTACTGCTTATCATTCCACTTAGTCATTGAAATGCTAGTGACAAACATAAATTGAAATAATTGTACATGGTCATTGCACACCTGAAATTATCTTGATAGAGGACCTTGAATACAGTGATAATGAATAAGTGAAAGTTTACCTATTACTTGTTCTCTCATCAGAGCTTCATTAGGCAGCATTCTCCACCAGTTGTGAGGATATTGATATTGATCATTATATATTCATGAAATGACACGGACTGAATACAAACTTGCTAGGCCAGGGCTCCAATAACCTTTTCATTAGACACAAACTAAAGAACTCGCCACTTTCTTCTTCATCTGAGAGTTGGCATGGATATCACTCTCTAAATATTTGTCCCATACGCTGCCAAATTGACGTTATCTCACCTTTGTTGTCTGTTGCCATGTCAAACAATTGTCTCATGCTAACACATGTCAACTCTTAGTTATACAAAAGCCAGTAGTCAGGATATGTGAACTACTGGGCATTTGTTACCAGGTCAAGAGTCACAATACTGGCTGTAGCTTTGAATCAGTAGGGTAAAGTAGGTGAAAAAATGAAATCAATTTAGCAGGCTTTTTTTGTTTAAACTGGCCATTTATTTTATTAAAAAACAGGCAGTTACTACTAATAGGCCTACAACCTGGGGGGAAATAAATCTAAAAATATGATAAAACTTATGATTGCAACTGCAATTTATGATTTTTAAGAGCTCCAGGTTTACTGTGCTTTGTATGTAGATCTGCACAATAAAATACAAATAAAAAATAAAACTATCATATTGTCTTAGGCCACATTTGACACTGTTTTTCATGGAACTCATTTAATATAAATATGAAAACTACATAATTATTATTATTAGTAGAAGTAGTAGCAGCAATTATTATTATTCTTAAATTATAAAAATAAATCAATGAAAAAAAGAGTATTTAAAGGGTCAGTTCACCCAAAAATGAAAATTCTGTCAGTAATTACTCTCCCTCATGTTGTTCCAACCCCGTAAGACTTTCGTTCATCTTCGGAACACAAATTAAGATATTTTTTATTAAATCTGAGAGCTAGATCACTCCTCCATAGGCTTCTTAAGGGATCGAAACTTGCCGGCCCAAAAGTTATTAAAGACATCGTCAAAATAGTCCGAGTGACTACAGTGGCTCAATCTTAAGTTTGTCAAACGACGAGAATACTTTTTGTGCGCAAAAAAACAAACAAAAATAACGACTTTATTCAACTATTCATTTCCTTATGTAAGCCTATGGAGGAGTGATCCAGCTTTCAGATTTAATAAAAAATATCTTAATTTGTTTTCCGAAGATGAACGAAAGTCTTACGGGGTTGGAACAACATGAGGGTGAGTAATTACTGACAGAATTTTTCATTCAATTTCACATTTTTGGGTGAACTAACCCTTTAATAATAATAATTGCAATACTAAAATGTCTTTGCATAAGTGTTCATTTTGACAACAAATTGTTATTTAGTTTTAGTCATAGTCTCTGGACTAAAAAAAGTTAAGTCATCTGAATTGTTTTAGTTTTAGTCTAGTTTTAGTTGAATAAGTCTACAATAAATGTAATCGTCCCTCCCTAACATTTTCGTGTCATACTTCTTAGTTGACGAAAAGGTCATTAAATTTTGTTTGTTATAGTTTTTGTCATCACAAACTGTTTTTTATTTAGTTATCGTCTCATTTTCGTCAGTAGAACATTCTTGTTGCTGAAAAATATGACTGTTTTTCAACGAAATTAACACTGCTTTGCATTCAAATGTTAAAACATTTTATTTTGGTGAAAAACAGCAGGAAGACATAAAAGCTTCTCTTTAGTTGACAGATTTATAAATTATTCACAATATAAATTGGGAATATGGTTGGGCATTTTCAAACTGGCGTTAAGTGACCCAAACTCACAGCTCTTGCAGCATAAACTACGAACGAGCCAATCTGAGACACGGAAAACACCTGATTTGTTCACGTGAGTAAAGGAACATAGTACCTCTTAATATAATTATATTAATTATATTAATTATAATAATTATACTATAATTAATTAAATTAATGTTACTGTCAGGTTTAAGTTCTGTTTATATCGACTTTCAGTTTATTTTGTATTGTTTCCTTGTGTTCAGTTCCTGTTTTCCCACTCGTTTTAGTTTCCTTGGTTACTCATTACTCCCTAGTTTGTCTCTATGATTACCAATTGAGCTGTGCACCTGTGCCTTGTTCAGTTAATCGTTAGTCCTGATAGTCTCATCTGCATCCTCGGGGAAAAGGGCACTTTTGATTTAACGATTAAAGGGGCAGGGGCTCAAGACATGAAAATACAGGGCTTATATAGGCTTATATATATATATATATATATATATATATATATATACATATATATGTATATATATATATATATATATATATATATATATATATGTCTCACAAGATAATGAGACACAGCGGAACGTAATCAGTCCAGTAATGAGTCCAGGCAACGAGTTCTGCCCCCCCCCCCCCCCCCCCCCCTGCTGTGACTGAAGACCACCCAGGCGTTGCTGAGGAGCTCGACAGCTGATCAGGCGGAACTGGAAGAAAAAGCATAGAGAGGATAGGGTTGGATTCTAGGGCCGTGTCAAAACAGGGGGAGAGTTCAGTAATGGCCTCCTTGGCCAAAACAGGGCGGGCGGGGCTTTCCAGATTGACCTCAGTGGTCATGACGGGACAGATTGAGAGTTCATAAGTGACCTCCATGGTCATATCTGAGCAAACAGGAAGTTCAGGCCCGACATTTAATGGCGGTTGGCAAACAACTTTTTAGTGTGCATTACCGCCACCTTCTGAAATGGAGTGTGGATTAGAATAGCCTACATTATCCGCTACAAACAAAAACAAAAAAAATATCAATATAATAACTAAATAATATTAATAATAATAAAACATTATTTGCAAAGAATTAATGAAAATACAGGGCTTATATAGGCAGAGTTTAACAAAACAATGAGAC